TCCGTGGCGTAAACAGAGTAGGGATTTAGGTTTTCACACGGAGTGCCAAGGGGGCCGGCAGGACTGGTACGGCAGCCCCAGTGTGATCAGAAACCAGGCTCCTCTGACTTTCTGCTCCGCACCTTCTGTGCACGGAGCTTCTGCCCTCAGGAGCTTCAGCCGGCAAAGGGTGTTTCTCCGAGTCTCAGAGCTCTCCCAGCGATCTGTACGCACATCCTGGCCACACCTTATTGCGCAGGGGACTGGGAAATGCAGTGTGTTAGCTGGGCATGGTGTCACCCCAATAAAACCCAGGGTTCAAGACAGCAGTCTCTTGCACGCTCTCTGGAGTCCCTGTCAGCAGAGTGGGGATCACTCCCTACTTTATCTATAAAGACGAGAAAGCTGAGAGGTGGCCAGGCGGTCCTGCAGTAGGTCATGGTGAGGTGGGTCTCATCACCCAGCTCAGTGCCAGCTTTGAAAAATGATGAACACAAAGCAGAAGCCCATGAACAGCTGTGGGGAAACACCAGCTGTGAGCCCAGGGCATCTCTTCCGGGGGAAACTGACAGGTGAGGGGCTGCAGGAGGCGGCGAGGGCGAGGGCTGCAGACACCGGGCTCCGCATCCTTCCCCGGGCTGGTGAGAGGTGGCCAGCTCGGGCCGTGGCTCAGTTGGAAGAACAGATTGGCAGGTAATCTGTGCTGCTTCCAAGTCAGCCGAGCGGCAAAGACTCCGGCCTTCCCACTGTGCCCGCACGGCTGGCTCCCACGGGTCACAGCCAGATGCAGAGGGTAGTTCCGAAGAACATGACAGCTGTGTCAGGAGCAGCCTGGGCACGTGTCATCCCTCCCGACTGCGGGGGGCCATCAGGAAGACAAGCAATGCAGGTGTTTCTCCAGCAGGAGGGAGCCTCCTGGGCAGAGCTGCCCACCAGGGGCAGGCTCTGGTTGCCCTGCGCAGGGCAAACACACCCTGTGGCAATCAGAGCTCAGTCCTCACCCCTCTGGAGCACAAACCGCTGAGACGGCCGGCCCGTTTGTTCCGAGCGAAGCCGGGAGCGCTGTCCTCTCTCCTGCCCTCAGCTCCCACAGGAAAAGGACAGTGTGGCCAGATGTCAGGGAGACCCCGGAAGAGCGTGCAGTGCAAGCAGGACAACCCCCCCCCCCCACAGGTGCAGGAAGGACAGTCCTCCTGGACGGGAAACGGACACACAGCCGACTTGGGAGAGAACAGGAACGTGTGTTCAGCTCCAGAAACAGGACATAAAATGCCCAGAATTTATCGCAACTCTGGTTAAAGCACGGAAGAATACACATTTTTAGAAAGAAACATACTTTCCCGTCAGCTCAACATAATGTTCACTCGAGAGGGAATGTCTAGGCCCAGAGGAGTGAGTGAGCTCTCCTCTTCCATCTTCCAAAAACCACATCCATTTGGATTATCTGTATGTCCACTCCCAGTTCACTGACTCTAATAGGTGACTGAAATTTGTTTAAATTCTACTTAGCTCAGCTTCCAGAGAAGCTTGTTTCAACGAGCAGTCTGGCGTAGACATGTACTGAAGATCACGACCAGAAGCCCTCTGATGAGAGCTGAGACTGGAGGGAGGGGGGAGGAGGGCGGGCTAGCTGTGCTGGCCCCGCCCCCTCGGGGATGCTCCGGGCAGCGGCAGCCTATGCACTCCCACCTCCTTCCTCTTCCAGAAGCTTCGGGCACCTCACAGCCACCTGCAGGCTGCCCGGGGAAGCTCTTCAGAGGATCATAAAGAACCTGCAACTGGCTCCCTCACTCCAGGCCTTCTGCAATCACGAGACCCTAGACTCATCAAGTCTACACTCTGCCGCCTGAAGACCTGCTCCCGTGGCTCTCACACCCCCTGCCTTCCCTGACCCCCTCAGCAGCGTGGCTCCTTGCCCCCACGAGGGCACAATCAGGGCTGAGAGCCTTCACGAGCCCGCCGTGGGCCTCTGGGGTGTGAGGAGTCAGCAGGGACGGTCCCCATCCCACCGGGGCCATCTGCGCTCAATTATACGCCTTTGGAAGCCAGCAGAGGGCTGTTCTCTGCTGCTGGTTCTCCATGATTAGTTCTTGTTTTTTGAATATTGCACGTGGTGCAGCCAGCTGTAGGAAGCATTCATGATTCCAAGCTTTTTTCGCCCCACAAAAAGGAAAGTGCTAAGCTAGTTATTACTATGGGGAAGGAAAAAAAGTTTAAAAGTCTCACTTTCTGGATAAGTTCCTCTTCCTGCCTTATAATTCCACCTCTGCCCAGAACTGGGACCGTTCTGTTGTTTCCTTTCGTTAGGCACCATCTAGCCACTTGCTGCAAAGGAGCCTTGCTACGAAATATCGTGTCATTCCAGCTCAGATATATTATCCACAGTTCAGGAGACTCTTCGCTCCCTTACGTTGTGTAAGAGGCCTGATGTCAAGGCATCCTCTTAAAGAAACCATTCCAGAAACTCAACCCTGCAAGCAACTCAGGAGCCAGGACCAGCTGCGGGGCTTCCCTTCTTTCCCAGGAGCTGAGCCAGGAACAAAAGCAACCCTGGTTCACATTTGAAGCCCTCAGTGTTCTCTGCAGGCAGGCAGCATCCGGCTGGCTGCTCCGGCTCTAGAATCAGCATGGGTGCTCACTAAGACGCACATTCTGCAGGGCTACACCGTGGACTGGAAATCTGGGCCCATCTGTGAGCAGAGGTCCAGAGGAGCTGGAGATTTGGGAGTCTTGTGAATGCGGATAATAAAAGCCAACAGATTAGCTACAATCCACAGGGATAAGAACATGGGAATTGAAGATGGGGACAATCAGCATTCTTTCTTCCGTATATCTCTGAAGTAGGCAAATAAACTCATTTCTTTTCTCACAATATACAAGCTCGATGGTAAACAGCAGCACCCATACACCCGTAAGCACAGGGCACTCTATGGATATCAAAAGTTCTTCGGAGCATGGGTTCGACAGGCTTATGACTGTCACCGAAATTTCTGCAACTTTAGGTACCCATTTATAAATGGAATAGAGTTCTACTTTCCATGTTAAGAAAAGAGAGAAATAAAAATGCCTATTGAGCCCTGGCTGGTTTGGCTCAGCGGTTAGAGCATTGGCCCGCAGATCCAACCCGGCCAAAGGCATGTACCTCAGTTGCAATTCGTCCCTGGTCCTGGCTGGGGACATGCAGGAGGCAACCAATCGATGTGTCTCTCTCACATTGATGTTTCTCTCTCTCTCTCTCTCTCTCTTCCGCTCTATCTGAAGATAAACAGAAAAATATCCTTGAGGATTAATAAGAGAAAAAAAAAAAAAGCCTACTGAACTAGTTAGCAGGAAGACCCAACAGTGATTTTACTTATTTTTGATAAGCAATTTTAAGTGTGTCCAGTAGAAGAAACTCTGTACCAATCACAGGTTGTTCCACTGAGGACAAGGGAAGCCCATGTGTCACCACCTGGGGAGGGAGGTGCAGGTATGAAAAGGGAGACAACGGAAAGGGACCTGTGTGTCAGGCTGGAATCGGAGGCACGGTGTGGACTCATGCTTTTCAACATGCAGATACAGAAATAAATGCAGCTGTGGTACGAACGTGTGTGTGTGTGCGTGTCCACGCCCGCAAACACCCAAGCTCTGACCACTGAGGCAGCCTGGGACCAGGAGCACGCCTAGCACTCAAATCTTAGCTTGAAAATGATTTTCTACTGTAGGGCTGGAGTAGGAAAAATACAAGATGAACTTGGAATGTCTTACTGTGCCAGAAAATAAATGTCCAAGTATAAGGGGGACAAGTCAAAAAGTTGGCCTGCAGGTGCTCCTGCTCAACCCACCTGAGACCATTTAAACATCTAAAGAAATGATAGTAATGGATCACACCCCAATGAATGAAAGATGAAACTACAAGTCTATACTGATACAAATTAATAAGTAAAGGGGGAAAATGACTCTACAGTAGGAAACCTGGCAACCAGCACCTGAAACAAGCAGCCAGGTGGCGTCCTCAGTGATGGGACAATGGAGGTCGTGCTCCGCCTGCTGAGACCAGTGAGGACCAGCACCGCTCTTGTGCTGGTCCTGCCAAAGGGGCACAAATTAGACCTGATCACAGGGAAACACCCTCAGTACCCGGCCTGGTCATCTTTAACAGAACCGAGGTCCAGAAAGCCAATGAGAAGCTGGGGTACTATTCCAGAATAAAGGACCCTACAGCGAGACATGATGACCGAAAGCAGTGTGTCACTCTGAACTGCACCCTTTCCCTATGAAGGTCATTACTGGGACAACTGGCAAAACCAGAATGGGGGTAATAAGATATTAACAGCAATTTCCTGACTTGATGGCTGTTTTGTGGTTACGTAGAAAAATGTCCGTGGGTGGTTTGTAAGGAGTGACCGGCCCATCAAGTGGCAACTTACTCTTACATGGTTCCGGTTCTGTTACTTTCAATTTCTCAGTCTGAAAATATTTCAAAAAGTACCACTTCCTTTTTATCTGTTATACAACATAAAAAAATGACTACAGTAATGATGAAAACAATGATGTTGAAGATGGTTTAGGTCAACATCAAGAGTTTCACAAAATTATTTCTTGAAACAGAATAGAAATTGTTCTTTTATGTAACATTTTAAGTGTGTGTTTTAGCTGAAACATTTACTATTGTGAGTTTTTTAAAAATCAGTGAATGAATGCACTCTTCTAGGTTGAATTAAAATGGAATATTTATAGTTTTTAAAAGTTTGGTTGGGGAAAAATAACAGTTCTACAAAATCTGTGCAACCCAGCCCTGGCCGGTGTGGCTCAGTTGGTTGAGCATTGTCCCACATACCAAAAGGCTGCCGATTCAATTCCTGGTCAGGGCACATGCCGAGTATTTGGGCTTGATCCCCAGTAGGGCGCCTGCAGGAGGCAGCAGATCAATGTTTCTCTCTCTCTCCCTCTCCCTTCTTCTCTAAATATCAATGAAAAAAAAAAAAACCAAAAACCTTTATAAAGAAACAAAAAAACCTGTGCAATCCAAAATTAAGATGATATTCAGCAGAGAGAATATTCCAATTTCTCATACCCAGTTCTCACAAGCAATGACATGTATGCTTTACTTTAAGACAGTGTCAACCAGAAATAATCTGGACAAATTTACCAAGTGTAATAAATTAGAGGTAAAATCACAATAAAAGAATTTATGGCTTACAAAAAGGTTCACAAGTATAAGTTTCCTTTATCAAGTTCTTAGAGTCCCTCCCTTAACTCCCTCCTGACCTCTGAAAGATGGGAGTTACCAAAGTTTGGTTTACACTGAACTTTTCAGGGACACGGGGCCTGAAAAGAAAGAAAGTAGCGGACATGCTGCTGCCTGGTGCTCCTTCCTTGGAGTAGTCCTTCTCCCGAAGAAGTGATCAGAACTCGGCCCAAGTAGCACAGAACCAAGTATCCTGTATCACGCCACATACCATGTCCTGCCCAACAAATTCTCATCTTTCTCCCGTGATGAAGAGGTGGACGTTCTTCTTGGACTGCAGCATCTGCGCCGCCCGCTCCACACCGACCACCGCCGCCAAGCGCTGGGCATCGTACCTGGAGTAGAGGACAGAGCAGGTCCAGGCGGCCTCCTCCCCGCTGGTGGTGGCTCTCAGCATGTTACAGACTTCACTGTAGAAGTGGGGGTATGTCGGCAGTTCGTAGAAGATCAGGTTCCTGATGCCTTTTATGGTGTACCTGTCGGAAGGGAAGAGAGGGCGTGTCCACGGGAAGGTGGATGGGAAAGCTGCCCGAGACCTGCAGGGCACACAGTGCACTCCTGCTGCCTCCTGCTCGGGAAGATGACGGCCCCGATAGCAGGCCGACGTTTCTCTCATGGGGCTTAAAGGGCTTATGTGTGACAACATAGCTGAATTCCTAGTATCTGGCTTAAAATAATGATAAAATAAGTTGCATTTCTTGAGCCTACTCTTGGTAGACTGAGGTAGGGTGCAGAATGTAGTAGACTTAGGATTAGAAGTCTGTCAGAGAAAATGTAGAAAGCAGGCGCTTATGATTTAACATTATCCTTATAATCAGGCAAAACAGAATGTTCTATGATGAAGATGAGGTCAGCACCAGTACATAAAATAAACTGTAAATGCATTCCCATCAGTCTTTTCTTGTCACTCTATAGACACGTTAACTCCATGGCAGATGTCCCGAGTTCATCCATGTACAAAATCCTGCCTGAGGACCCATTAGGCATTATGGGAAAGCAATTCATTTAACAGGCAATTCTTTCCCTGCTGCGCAATGCTGGGGGGGGGGGGGGGAACCCCCAGAGACTCACTGTATGGTTTGGGTCCAGGTCAATTATGCCCTCTGGGGTACCATAACGAAAGATTTTATATGTTGACAAGCTTCTGATTTTTCCTGTTAGACTCTCATGCATTGCTGGCATTATAGACTCCCTTGGGAATTTAATTCATGAAGATAAACTTTCCTTGTCCTTTACCCCATGGCTCATCCTCTCTCTCTGGAGACCCTCCTCTTTCAGACTGTAACTGCACCGCTTTCTTGGTTCACCTTTCAACATCACCTTTCCGTACAGGAATTCTAATGGCTGAGGAACCTGAGTAAGCTGTTCTACCTCACTAGTTATTAAAACAAACAAAACCAAACACTGAGTTCCACTTCAGCTTAGGATGTAAAAAATTCAAGAGAATATTGCTCCCACACCAACAAGAAAACTCCAGATGATCTATGAGAGTATTTATTTTCTTGAGCCTAGACAGCTGATGTTACGAGGCAACCCAGTGAAGTGATTCGATGAGGTGCTAGGGAAGGGAGGGTGCTGATCTGAAACACGTGCCGATTTCTGTGGTGTAAATACTCCCACCATGGCCTGTTTCAATGTCATGCTGCTGAACTTGGAGTTGAGAAGAGACATGCGACCAGATCTCACGAGCCAGGACAGGCCAGCTTTGAGCCACCAATGACTATATTCCACAGTGACGAGCCCTCTGAAGAGAGAGCATGAGCACTATTTCACCTTTGGCAGAGAACAAGAGGAAGAGGTGAGCTGCCAAGAAAGTGAGGAGAAAGAAAACAGCTACACTTTTAACAGTTCTCAAAGGGCAAGTGTGGGCTGGGATGATAGCTCAGTATCCCTGGGCTTCCTGGTCCTTCCTTTAGTTCTCGTTCACTCGTGAGCTCTTTTCCACGGGCCTCCACTGGGAGTTCTGGGGAAAGACTGGAGGCAGGGCAGAAGACCTGAGATACCCCACTGGCACAGACATGAACCTTATATGGAACTCCCAGACCCATATTTTAAAGGAGGCAAAAGCCTAAAGCCGATGGGAAAGGGGAAAAGGTCAACTGCTGGTGGAGGAGGTTAGGTGAAGCAAAAGTCATCTGCCCCTAAGGGAGGGGCAGTAACCCCCAATTCCATCCATCCCCACAACTTATACCCAGTAAAAAGCAACAGCAGCCTGTTCCTGGGGAAAGAACTCCAAACCCATTCAACCCGAGATCCCACTGATGTGAGGGGAAGTCTGCCAGCACCAGGGGAGAAGCAGGAACTCTTTCCCACCAAGACCCCTCAGAGACACAAGAGTCTGGCTGCCGGGGGTATGGGGGGGGTGTGCAGGGGCCCAGAGAAAGTCCCACCTCAAAGCCCAGAGTGAACAGGGCCTGCTTAAAACTGAGTTGGACCCTGAGACCCCCCCACCTCAGGCCTTGCGGGAGCAGCAAGCAGGGACAGCCTGCTGCTGGAGGGGCAGCAGTGAGGGGACACTGGGGTGCAGGCCTGGGTGAAAGCTGAGAGGACAGCAGGGTGCTGAGAAAAGGCCCAGCACCACCCAGGCTCCACACGAAGCCACTGGCTGCTGGAGAAATTTAAAGTCTGTGCTGTATCGAAAGTTACTATAGTAACAACCAAACCCTGACTGGATTCCCAACTGCCACACTAGTGGCCTGGCAGAGAGAGGTGTGCCGGACATAAGTACTGCTCACCTCTGCCTCTGCATTCAACTGACAATTACACAAAACACGAAAAAGCAAGACAAAGACATCAAAACAATGAGGTTATCATTTTGACTATCAAGTCACTGGAACCAGTGGGCTTTTGCATCAATGGGCCAATGAAGTATAAATTATTATGTATTTTGGGTGGTGGGGGCGGGGAGATGGGGTAAGATCGGAGGGAGCCAATAAGTGGCAATGTGTAGCAAATTTTTAATTGGGGACAGCCTTTGAGTAATAAGTTTTCCTTTCCAATGTATCCTAAGGAATTAACTAGGCAACCATGTCATCAACTATGCATATGGATGCTCTTGGCATTATTGTAAATAACAGCATAAAATAGAGGGGAAGACGCCAATATTCCTATTAAAAGGAAAATGAGTTAATTATATATCCAAACAATGTACTACTATATAGCCATTAAATAATGCAATACACACCCACAGATTACGTACTAATTACACAGACAAGGTATCTTTACAATGGAGGGATAGATGGAGAGCAAGCAGACCCACCTTGACCGAATGATCACATTTAGCATCAGGAATAATGGGATATATGGACACTGTGGCTCTTGACAAGATGCTGTGAGAAGTAGGCAACCTCCTCTATGGGGAATTCTTACCACAAAATGTTTACTCTAAATCAGTGGTCCCCACACTTTGCTGGATGCTGAATCACCTGTTTGTTTTTTTATTTTTATATTTATTTATTATTTTTTTTATCCTCACCTGAGGACATTTTTGTATTCATCTTCAGACAGGGCAGGAGGGAGAGAGGGGGGAAGAGAGAGTAACATCAATGTGAGAGACACATCAACTGGTTGCCACCCACACGACCCCAACTGGGGCCGGGGACAAACTGCAACCGAGGTACATGCCCTTAGCGGGAACCGAACCTGGGACTCTCCAGTCCACAGGCCGATGCTCTAACCACTGAGAAACCCGGCCAGGGCTGTTTTTTTAAATACCTATGCTTGGTCCCCAGGCACTGTGAGTTAACTGGTACTGAGGTACGACCCAGGCATTCGGATGTTAAAAGCCACAGGGAATTCTAATGGACAGCAAAGTTTGGGAGCCACTAATTTAAATAGGAAAACAGACAAACTGAGACTGTGGGACTTTCTATAGAAAACTAGATTGTACTCTTCAAAAATGTCAATGTCATGAAGAAGAAAAGAGCATTATTTATTCCCAGTTGCAACCACACTGGGAGCCACAGTTTCTTCACTGCGGCGCTGCTGACATTTTGAGCCAGACAACTCTCGTGGCGACTGTCCTGTGCACTGCAGGATGTCTAACAGCATCCAGGCCTCGACCCGCTGGGACCACTAGACCACCAGTATAACCCTCCAGTGGCGACAACCATAAATGTCTCCAGATATTGCCAAATAGGGAGCAAAATTGTCCCTGCTTGAGAACCAAGACAGATAAAAGAAACACGTTAACCAAATGCGATGTATGAGCCCTACCTGCAGCTGGATTAGGGGAAACAGCTACAGGGGTAATTTTGGGGACACCCAGGAACATCTGAAGAGACTACAATATTAGACATTACTGTAGTAATGCCAAGTGGTATGACAATGGTATTGTGGTTAGATGACAGAATGTTCTTGTTTTTAGAAGCCACAGGCTTATAGGGAAAGGTCATTAAGAAGACTTGACTACCGGTTTGGGATATAGGCGGGCTCCTCCGTATGGTCTGCAGAGAACAGACCTACTACTTCTAGAACTGGGCTTCACGTACAGGAACAGGGGCCACCAGGAACACCCCAGCAGCCCTTCCCAACTGCAGGAATCCCACCTCCAGAGTTTCTCATTTGCTCCCTGGATGACAACCCTCCACAGCTCAACAGAGAGCTGTGAACCTCCCTCTCCTCTGGAGGGCCATCCTGACCAAATACCAGTCCAATTCCAAGTGTATACTGGTTTCATCTGCCCCAAAGAAAACAAATCTGCAGGGTGAAATTTTTTGCTATTTCACAGTAAACTGTAATATTTTTAACACTGCCTACTTCCACAGAGAACATAAATACAGAGTTTCAGAGCTGGATAGTAAAGCTGAAAACACATGTAATTTTCCCAAGGTCAAATAAAAAATAGAAGCACAAAGGCACTGTAGCCCTGGCCAGTTTGGCTCAGCGGTTAGAGCGTTGGCCATGGACCAGAAAGTCCCAGGTTCGGTTCCCACTAAGGGCACGTACCTTGGTTGCAGTTTGTCCCCTGGCCCCGGTTGGGGTTGTGTGGGTGGCAACCACTCGATGTGTCTCTCTCACATCAATGTTTCTCATTCTCTCTTCCTCCCTCTCATCCTCCCACTCTGTCTGAAGATAAATGCAAAAATGTCCTTGGGTGAAGATAAAAAAAAAAAAAGGCACTGCAGATCAAAACAGCAACCATCACCTTGGTGATCTCTCAAGCAAAAAATTCTGTAGTTGGAAACCCTGAGATCATTCGCAGTTACAGAACTCTGAAGCCCATTTTCCCATTCACTTTCAACACGGATACACCTATTAACCTGGTCCAGAGCACGTGCTAGGTCGTGCTAGGTTTGCCTTTACAACGACTCTGCAGGCAAAATGGCTTGGTAAACAAATGAACAGTGTAAGACAGGAGACTGTCCTGCTTACTTGAGAGAGGAAAGGCTCCTTTCTCTTAAGTAGGACATCATGTCCTCTCCTTGAAAAGCTGCTTTTTGAGAACATCCCAGCTTAATTCATACTTGCTACGACAACCACACTGGGAAGTTTTCCAACCTACCCTCTTCTCTGCAAGGACTTGCTTTCATCTGTCAAGCTGACAGAAAACTAAGGGCTCTTAAGACCTGCTGAGTATAAACTCCCCCAAAATACCACTCTCCAACATGAATGAAAACAACTTGCTGGGACAAAGCAAATAATGTCAACAAGCAGGCATTCGTGAACACTCTGGCCAACAGCCCTGTCTGCTGGATGGAGCCCATGAAATACAAACGCAGTCATCTCTCCACTCACAGATCACCTTGTCAGCAGACTGCCCGGAGAGGTCACATCACGGCAGCCCACTCTGCCTCAAAGCTGCTGCATTCCTCCCTCCCCATCTTGGTAACAAGAGCATGTCTGGGGAGCATGTCCTAACATCAGCACACAGACAATGCGATGCCAGGATGCATCACCCAATATGCTCCAAAGCCTGGAAGATTTCTGGCTCATACATTAGAAATTCTCTGAGAAAATGTGCCCCTTGTTGGTATATATAATTGAGAGTTAATAGAACAATAGAGTCAGAACTTAAATTCACTAGACATGATGTGCATCAGGAAAGACGACAAGACGTAATAGGACGCAATTTCCATCTGTCTCTAGGTGAGGGTTCAAACAGGGCTTTTTCATTTGGCAGCAGAGACTTAGTAAATCACCCGGGTGAACAAAGGGCTGTGACTATCCCAAGCTGTAACAGAAGACTCAATATTACCAACATGCGAATTAGCATGGGAAAAAAAAGGCCCATGTGACTTATTTGATCAAAATCACATGTTGCGGAAGCTAAACAAAGGCTGAAACCCTTAAATATTCAACACTAAGCCCCTCGCCTTTTGCCTCCTGCCAACCCCCAGGGGCCCCCTGCCCAGGTTCTCCTTGGGGAGGGAGTGCACGCCGACCTCCTCGGGACACACCAAACTTTCTGAACACTGACACTGCTCAGCTTCTAGCTCCCCCACCCCCGATTCTGTGCCTGTGGTTCCACGACAGGCCCCTCCCCTTCCTGCGGTCACTGTGTCGTCCCAGTCAAGAGTTGTTCGACTCTGTCCGTCTTGAGATGTATGAGCAGCTACCAAAAGTACCCTGAGCATGCACCCACTCCAGATCTCTGCACAGTCATGCTGTGGTCGCTGATTTATTGCCACAGCCTTTCCCAACAATGCCCATTTTGGAGGAACCAACCAACCACAAAGAGTTTGTCCCACCCCCAATGCTCTGGATTCATGCCGGAGGCAGAGTAGGGGAGGACTGATTGCCCCACGAAGGCTGCCGTGTGCCGTGTGCCGTGTGCCATGCGCTCAGCAGAAGCCAGGATGGCTCTGCACCCCGCTGCGCTGCCCACCAGGAAGCGGCGTTCGGAACCTGGCACTACCTCACCTTTTGTAGAAATGGAAGCGCTCTGTGAGGAGCAGGAACTGCTTCTCTCCGTGAAGGAAGAAGTGTCTGGCCCTGGAGATACCAGACTTCTGGGTGTACTCGCAGATATGGGTGAAGTTCAGGTCCTCTTTCTTAAAGTAATTTCGGAGACGCACGAAGTCAAAGTAGGAGGGGACATAGATGAGCGTGTGCGACATGACTGCATCACGATACTGAGGCAAAACCTTGTCCACGAAGAAGTGAAACCTGATTTGGAAAGGCAAAGGGCAAAGTCAACAGTCTAGAGTTGAACCCCTAGGTCACTACTAACCGAGTGACCCTGGGCAAGTCAATCTCCCTCTACCTCCTCAGAGAGGCCAATGTGGCTTATTTCATTGCAAAGTGATTACATAATAAAACTTGATAAGCACATTAAAAAAAAATAATAAGTGCTAACATCATTCATCAGAGAGAATAGATGTAACGCTAGTTATCCCAGAAAATTATTCTAGGAAGTAGCTAACATTATGCATGCATGCATGCATGCATTCATTCAGTCAGTCAGTCTTCAGTTAGTCAGTCATTTAACAAATACTTGCTGAACACTTCCCACGTGCTAAGTACCATTCTGCTACCATGGAGCCCCTGACTAAACACAATGAGGAGACAGGGAAAATACAGAGAGCATCAGAAAAATAGTTCTTGCCCAGAAGGGCTAACAATTAGTTTGTTGACATGGAATACTTTGCAGCATCAAGCAGTGTAATATAGCTTAAAACTGCCACAGTTTAGGGGGAAGAACCCCGATGTAACAGATTAACCTGCCACTACCTAACTGTGAGAACTAGGCCAAGGCACCATTTCTGTCTGGGCTTCAGTTTCCTCCTGTGACAATGGCATGATTCGGTTCAATGACCTCATCTCATCTGGCAAATGGTACTTTATTAAACCAGCAGGGAATCCAGTTGTAAATTAGTATGCCAAAGTCAATCCCTCTCTGTGGTCCCCAGGTGTCTGGTGGGACAGGAAAACAGGTACCTGGCATCAATCACCGAAGCTAGGTTTTCAGCTTCCATCCTCTGGAAGACATGTGGGAGCTGCACCAGCACATGACTGATGGAGCCTGTCATCGGGACGTTCCTCACCGCCACCTGCCAGGAGTCAATGAGAGCGTTAGGCGGCGAGCGGTCCCCGTTGTTGACCAACCGCTCTCCTCTCCTTCCACCTCCTGACCCAAACAATACGTATGCTTCATGAAGATCCAGAGAACACACCTGGCCTTGCACATTGACGCAGTACTTGTTGAACACGGAGTTAATCTGGGCATCCTGCAGGGCCCCGAACAGCAGTGTCTGGCGATAGTACTTGGACCAATTATTGAGGCTCCACATCCGCACTCGAGAAAAATCCACCCCATGTGAGTCCAAGGGCAGTAAGTTCATGTGGTTCATCAAATGCTTTCAGCAAAAAACACTACCATTAATACTTATTGAGCATTACCAATTGGGCACTGCTAAGCATTTTACACGTCTGTCATCTTATTTAACCCCATGAATAAAGTACGTACTATCATTGCCCAAATTACAAGAAAACTGAAGCTCAGATGAGTCAGAAACTTGCCTATAGTCAGGCAAACAACCCCAACAGGAAGGTAAGCTAAGACTGGCCACCTCTTAGACCTTTTGAAGAGGATCAAAATGGTACCTACAGAAATAGTCCTTTACAAGGGATTTCTGAAATGCCCCCTTGGTCACTCTATGGGTTCCTCAGTCCCACACTTGGACGAGGAGGAAAAGGACATGGAAAACAGAGCTGCTGTCCCTCGATTATATGTTCTCAAAACATCAGTAAGAGATTCCCACATGCTTTTTCCTCCAATTAAAGACTATGGACCATTTACATGTCTTTTCTATTTTCATTATATTTTTCCCTTGTAATACATGTTAAAGGGTAAGGAGCACTACAAAGTTATGTTCTACTTTATAAATAAGTACTCCCCTTTACTTGTCCCAAAACTCCTACAAGCCCTGGGGCTGTGGGAAAGGTAAGTTCTTATATGCCTTTTTTTTATCCTCACCCAAGGACATTTTTCCATTTTTTGTTCAGATAGAGTGGGAGAAAGAGAGAGGAAGAGACCGAGAGAGAGAAGCGAGAGAAACATTGATGTGAAAGGGACACATCAAGTGGCTGCCTCCAGCACAACCCAATCAGGGCCGGGGACAAACTGCAACCGAAGAACATGCCCTTAGTGGGAACCGAACCCAGGTCTCTCTGGACCGCAGGCTGACGCTCTAACCGCTGAGCAAAACTGACCAGGGTTACGCCTTTTTTTTTTTTTTTAAACCAAACCTATAGTTCTGTGATAAGGATTATTCCAAAGCACAGGTTTTTAATCCTAAAACTGACACCACCACAGAAGAAGAGGGAGAAATAAAAATCACAGCACAAATTACAGTAGGGGATATAAGCACCCTCATTTCTCTGTAAAACAAGATCTCACAGTAAGAAATCGTGAGCAGTGTTTTCCCATCTCCACTGAAGACTGATCAGAAAAGAATGAGCATGAGCCACAAGAGGAATTCTGTAGACATTTCTAGTGGGGAGGATTTTCAACCAACCAAGCAACTGACCAGCCACAGTAAAGTGGTCTTTTAGCAGAAGTGACCTTTTAGGGGAAGAAATCTTTTCTAGAGATTTGAAAATATTGACAAGAATTTTTGTCTCTTTGGATAGTTTATTGACCAATCTGTGGGTAGAAAAGGGGACAAAATTTTTCATTTCAAATTAGAAAATGTGGACCATATCCCTGTTTCTGAACTGCCTGCATTTTAATCTAGACTTAAATAACTCTGTAGGATTTAAACCAGAGCATCTAGTCCCTCTAAATTGAATGACCAGCATTACCAGGACATGCTCCCAGTTCTGCATCAGGTAAATGTCAGCTTGATCAATGATGAGAAGCTCAATAGAAGACAGAAAGTCAAAATCTCTCTTCTTCTCCCCTTCTGCACCAATGATGGTCCTCAAGCCCAGAGGGGAGGCAATGAGGATGTCCGAGGAGTAAAAGGGGGCATAGAGCCGGATGCTTCTCTGAAGTATTGCCACTCCTACACAAAACAGCCAAGTTTACATCAGTTCATTCATCACACCCAGTCATTAGCCTCCACCCTCTCAAAGCACCCGCACCCTTATACCTTCCAAATCTTTCCCCTTAGCATATAACCATGCTCAAACTGATTTGATTATTACATCATCATCATCCCTCCTTTGCACCTGTGTCCCTTCTAGCTCCCACTCCCTTCCTTTCCTTCACTGTCAAATTTCTCCAGAAAGCTGTCTCAACTTTGAAATCTCCCGCTCACTCCTCAGTGTGCTGCAGTCTGGCCTCTGATGCCCAGGAATCACCGAAGTGCTCTTGCTAAGGTCACCAATAGCTCTGTTACCCATTTACAGCACTTTAGTGTTTCTTGTCATGAATGTATAAGCAGCACTTTGAACACACCCTCCCTGAAGTGTTCTTTTCCTCGCTGGTGGTTTCCAACATTCACTTCTATTTCTGTCACTGACCTGGCCATTATCGATCTTTCCAGATTCAAATAGCTCTTCCACAAATCCTTGGATTCACCCTCAAGCTCGACTTTCAATCTACATAAAGCTCTGGATAAATTTCCTCACTAACCATGGTTTTAACATCACCTTCACCTTATTTCTAGCCCACGTCTCTTTCCTGGGCTCCAGACTAATCAGCTGTCGGCAGTACATGTTTAAAACTGAACACCAGCTCTTATCCCCTTGCACCCTGACTCCAGCCATGCTGAAGCCTGTGTCAATTCTAGGTCATGCCTGGCTTATTCACCCGGAGGCCTCTGCACATGCAGTTTCCTGTCCCCAACCTCTTCCTCCACTCTGACCACCCCCATTTGTAACTGGCTAAATCCTAATCAAATGACACTTCCACCAGGAGGCCTTCCCTAACCACCCTGTGCCCATGCTGGGTAAGGAGATTGCTTTAAGTGCTCCCAGAACACCCACTGCAACCTCTCAGGCAGGAGGGAAGTCCACCACTGTGTAGATGCTCAGTTCATTCAGTCTCCCCTATAGGCCCCTCAGCCCATCACTTCCAGCTCCCTGAGAACTCCTGCAGCACCGCCAATGCGCTACAGCTATGGGTGTGTCGACATGTCCGTTGTAATGTACGTGCGCCTTGTATATGAGCCTGCAGAGATGCTCCACTCCACTAGCCAAGCTCCCACCCGTTAACCTTGGCAAGACTCTCTATCCTGGAAGACTAGATGTCTCCAATGCACTCTGGTCCTGCTAGGAGGCCAGGCCAGGGACCCACTGAAAGAATGCCCAATTCCAGGCTTCAGCCCCCAACGCTGTGAACCTCACATCTCAGGTCCTTGGGGTCTCCCTTCTGTCAAGGAGGCATTACCGATCCTGAAGTGGTCATCGATATTGCCGACAAATACGGCTTCGTAGTCCTCAGGCCTCTTCAGGTTGGGCGGCCTCTCGTCGGGATCTGAGCCATACTCTCCGTTAAACCTCTTCTTGTTGCTCACAATTATTTTCTTCTTGCTGTCGCCCTCAAGGAGACTGATGAAGAGCTGTACCACCCGCAGAGCAGCTTCCCGGAAGGGAACCACTATCAGCACCTGCGGAGGGAGCAGAGGCGGCCTCGGTGGGGGAGGGGAAGGAAGGGCAGCTCGAGGGGAGCGGCTGGCGACCTGCTGCTGAGGAGCCTCTGTACGGCGGTGGCCCCAGCCAGAGACCACATCCATGTCAACCTCTTTGCCAGAACTGGCTCAGTGCTAGAAGCTGAGCACCCTTCACACCCACAGCACCATGTCCTGTGGATTTTAATTTCATGGCGCCATGGGAGGCAACTCGCAAGCAGAATTTGGAAATACCTTTTAAGCTAAGTCAGTGCCTTTAACAGAGGAGTCCACTAGCAAAAACCCAAGGATATAAACACACAAGCTCTTTGAGGGCAAGGAATGTGACTCATCCTGTCTTCCACAAAACTTAGCACAGTATTTTTATTTTTTTATTTATTTTTTATTTTTTTATTTTTTTTTATCCTCACCCGAGGATATTTTTCCATTTTTGTACAGATAGAGTGGGAGGGAGAGAGAGGAAGGGAGAGAGAGAGAGAAACATCGACGTGAAGGGACACATCGAGTGGCTGCCACCCGCACGACCAACCAGGGCCGGGGACAAACTGCAACCGAAGTACGTGCCCTTAGCAGGAACCGAACCCGGGTCTCTCCGGACCGCAGGCCGACGCTTTATCCGCTGAGCCAAACTGGCCAGGGCGCACAGTATTTTTATACATAGGACCCAAGGAACAAATATATGCTAAACAAAAAATGAATTAGAAATAAGTAGAGAACAAATAGAACTGGTAAGGAAAAGGACTAATGCATCACTACTTTTCTAGTACATTCTGTAGTACATTTTTCAGAAATGACGATAAAGCATTTCTGAAATAAGATCCTATTTTAATAGGCCTTAGTTTTCCAAACATTTCCTAAAATGCTTCAAGTTACAACTGCTGAGGGAGAAAAATGAAGATGCTTAATAAATTATTAATGTCTAACCCCCTTTTGTAAATAATACAATCAGTAGAAATAACCCCAATGAAAGTGGAGGCGGAACTAAAAGGCATTTTCTATCATAGCACTAAATCCACTGGAGCTTAAGCTGATGAGCCCAAATACATGTAATCATCACACTAAGCAGCAAAATCTACATGAAAAATAGGGATTTTTCTTTTCCAAGGTTTCCATATTTCTGTGGCTTAATGAAGAGACTCTGGTTCCCATCCCATCTCTGCTGGCTCTCTTCTCCTGCTTTTTTTTTTTTATCCTCACCCAGGGACATTTTTTCCATTTTTTTGTTCAGATACAGTGGGAGGGAGAGAGAGGAAGAGAGAGAGAAATATCGACGTGAAAGGGACACATCGAGTGGCTGCCACCCTCACGACCAACCAGGGCCGGAGACAAACTGCAACCGAGGTACGTGCCCTTAGCGGGAACTGAACCCGGGTCTCTCTGGACCGCAGGCCGACGCTCTAACCGCTGAGCCAAACCGGCCAGGGCTTCTCCTGCTTCTTTTTAGCAAGGTCCCTATGAATCTGGGTCTCAGTCCAGTTAGAACATGCAGGGATTAAGAAAGAAGCTCATTAAGGACCCATCCAGCTCTACAACCCCAAAGAACACATTTATAATGGAACATTATGTATGTATGTCAGGGTTTATCTTAAAGAATTATCATAGATGTACCTCCTACTCACAATTTTCCAGTTAGAGTCACCCTCAGAAATCTACCACTGAGTCATCTGCAGCCCTGCTGACACCACTGGGCCCACCAGACATGCCCCATTGGTCTCATTCATTACTCTAATCATTAAAAGACCAGAGTACCTACTAAGTGCCAGGCGCCTACATGGCAGTGCCTTGCAGTCTCCTTTTTGAGGGCAAAGCTCCCCTGCTGCCACTCACCTTGGGCCTCGTTAGCCCTTGATCCCTGAAGTCATCATCGTCACCCACCCCAAGCTTCTGGCTGCGACGCCTGCTGTTGTTGCCAAGCACCTGGGCATTGGCTTTGAGGACGTGATTGATTGCATGCAGGCAGTACACATGGCGGATCTCTTCCCCGTTCTTCAGGGCGGTCCTTTCTGGGTAGAACAAGTCCTGGTAAGAATTCATAATTAAGAAGAGCTCTTTCTGGAGGGATGTGAAGGGGCTACTTGATTTCTGAGGACCAGAGAGAAATTGGCTGTTGGTCTTGATCCAGGTGGATTCCAGAGGCTTCTGGAGATGAAGTGCCTTTAAGTCAAGGTCCTTTGGGGGTTTAAATGTTTCTGACTTCTGAAACTTGGAAGAAAAGACAAGCTTGCCCAGGGTGGGCCACTAGGGGAGAGAGAGATCAAGAACTATTGTTACAAATGAATTATAATACCTTATATTCACACAGTACTTTATAATTTACCAAGACCTCCCTTGATTTACAGTAATCTCATTTAATCCTCACAACAACCCTGCAAGTTAAATACTAGAATGCTCTTCTTACAGTTTAGGAAAGTCCGAGGTTCAGAGAGGTTATACAATTCAGACAAACTTTTCCAAGCATTTTTGAAATGACAAAATGATAGAAATGGAGATTAGTGGTTACCAAGGGTTAGGAACGGGGCGAGGGAAAAGGGTGTGCTTATCCCAGGGCAAAGGGAAACAGGAGGGGTCTTTATGTGCTGGAAGTGTTCTGCGTCATCACTGGGGTGGTGGGTAGGGGAACCTACACCTGAGATAAAACAGTACAGAACTAAACACACACACAATCGAATAGGAGCAAAACTGGGGAAGTGTGAGGAAGAGTGGTAGACTGTATCAATGTCAGCTTTCTGACAGTGATACTGTACTGTTTTGCAAGATGTTACCATTGGGGAAAACTGGGCAAAGGGCATAAGAGACATCTTTGAATTATTTATTCCAACTGCATTTATAATAACGATCTCAAAAATTTTAATTAACTGATGAAAAATAAAAACACAAATACTCCATATTTGAGTAATTTAGTTGTGAACCATTATCTGATATTTCAAACAAAGAAAGAGCAGCAGTAGCTACTGTTTTACTGACTTTATTCTGAGGTAGGCATTACTGTCCCCCTCTAACGGGGGAGAACAGTGAAGGTCAACAAGGTGGATTGACTTGCCTTAGGTCATGTTAACAGCCCCTTGCAGATGTCGGTCTAAACCCCAGTGTACTGTCTCTTAGCTTATCTGGCTCCCACATTCCAGTTTCTCAGCACCTTTTCTAGCTACACTGGTGCCCCACTAGGCTCCTCCGGCCTCCCCGTGCCCTGCCCCCCACCAAGCCATGCACTGCTGGTGTATATCCTATATTCAGGGAGACCACTCAAACCCAGGACCACGGCTTTACTTAGAACTTTCCTTCGGTGTGACTGAGATGACTAAGCGACACTTACTTTGAGCTCGTGCGTAGTTTTGGGATTTGTGGCAACAGCCTGAATTTCTTTTTCTTTCAGTTCTTTGTTCACATGTTGTAGAAATGGATCTAATTCAGAAGTAAAGAATGTCAGAACACTTGGAAGAAATGGCAGGCATGTTTGGTCTTCCTGTGAGGACGACATGCTGTTCTTCATGTTAACTCATCCCTTTCCCATCTACTTTCCCCACGCTCTCTCCCAGCCCGGGCTTGAACGTTTCTGACAGGTTCGTTTTCCTAAAGCATTCCTCTCATCACACTGCTTCCCAGCTCCAAAGCCTCTGAAGAAACTTCTCATTCTGAAATGTGGGGCACTATAGGATGAACCTCCAACCTACCTCCCCAATGTAATTTTTTAATGATATGGCCCTCAAATTCTTCTGCCTCTGTGGCTTGCCTTCCTTTAATTAAAAATTTTTATCCTCTCCTTCACCTCATTTTTGTATATGCAAATAGTATCCATTTAATGTTACCCCCTACCTCACAATAAATAACCATTTCCCAGGAGACTATGTCAGGAACGGTGCTGGCTCCACTAAGAGGCCATTCCTAGCCCTTTACAGACAGTCCCCCCCAGGGACCCTGCCTCCACTCACCAAGTGCAACACACAGATGTGCATGTTCATTCATTTACCAGACTATAAGATCCCTGAGGGCAGGCTGCATGCCTGATTTGCCTTGCATTGCAAAACACAGAGAAATACTCAATCCTCAGCTGAGTTGAGCAAATGATCCAAACAGTAGCACCTGTTCTCAGGGTTGTCTTCAGCGCTCTGAGCTGGCCACCCAACCTTCTCTTCCAGCCCCCTCATTAAGAAGCAGAGCGAAGTGAAATGAACCATTCAAAGATCCAAATGGTAAAACTTCAAATGAAACTTGGACTAATGCTTAAGGTAAGAGTGAGCTGTAAGACAAAAGACTTCTAGGTGCTAATATATCTGTATAGGCAAAACAACCAGAGATATTTTAGAATGGTTAAGACTTCTAATGCTTCCTCCAGGTTTTTAAGATTTGGCGGTTCGAAATGGGCTTTGTGCCCAAGTTCTACCTCTTTTTCTCCCTCTCCAGCATAATTAGCAGAACCAAATGGGCCAAATTAAAATTTCAGCTTCACTGTTTGGCCAGTATGGCTCAATGGACTGACTGAGTGTCGTCCCACGGCCTGAGAGGTCCTGGTTCGATTCTGGGTTAGGGCACATGCCCGGGTTGCAGGCTCGATCCCCAGTAGGGGGCGTACAGGAGGCAGCTGATAGATGTTTCTCTCTCAATGTCTCTATCTCTCCCTTCCTCTCTAATTAAAAAAAAAAAAATCAATAAAAACATATTTAAAAAAACACTTCAGTTTCAGTAATGGTAGAGGCAGGTTGAAAATGGCACTGGGACCAAAAAAGGCAGTCAGAACACAAAAGGAGACCAACCTGACTTGTCCACCCAGATGCAGGCTAACTGGACGAGAGACAACAGAGACCTGCCTAAGGCTGACACAGGCAGGCCCTGCCCAAGTGACTGTCATTTAGATAGAGCCATGGTCAAGAGGCTGAGAGACGGGGAGACAGAGTGGAGCTTCTTGGTGTTTGAGGCACTCCATGGTAATACGGACCAATCGGATTAGTTACTGAGTCTCACAAATCTGGAAAATTATTGCTCCTATAAAAAAGAGCAATTGGGCCCTGGCTGGTTTGGCTCAGTGGTTAGAGCGTCGGCCTACGGTCCAGAGAGACCCAGATTCGGTTCCTGCTAAGGGCACATACCTTGGTTGCAGTTTGTCCCCGGCCCTGGTTGGGGTTGTGTGGGTGGTAACCACTCGATGTGTCTCTCACATGTCTGTTTCTCTCTCTCTCCCTCCCTCAAGATAAATGCAAAAAAAAAGTCTTCAGGTGAGGATAAAAAAAAAAAAAAGAGGAAGTAAAGGGTAGAGAGAAAAATGCTAAGTATTTCTCCTCTTTCTCTTTTTTCCCTACTTGGGAAGAACATCAGAAGTCTTCCCCTGACCCGAGTTGTGAAAAGGGGAGGCCTGGGAAGTTGGCCTTCCCTCCCACAGTTCTTTTTTTTTTTTACATTTTTTTTCCTTTATTGATTTTAGAGCAGTGGTTCTCAACCTGTGGGTCGCGACCCCTTTGGGGGTCCAACGACCCTTTCACAGGGGTCGCCTAAGACCATGAGAAAACACATATTTCCGATGGTCTTAGGAACCGAGACACTGCTCCTGTATCCATCTCTAGGGGGGTCCGCCCACATGGGGGTCCGCCCACATGCAGATACGCCCACATACAACATGAGGAACTGTATTAAAGGGTCAAGGCATTAGGAAGGTTGAGAACCACTGTGTTAGAGAGATAGGAAGGGAGAGGGAGAGAGATATAGAAACATCAATGAGAGAGAACATCAGCTGGCCGTCTCCTGCACACCCCCTACTGAGGATCAGGCCCACAACCTGGGCATGTGCCCTGACTGGGAACTGAACCCGCGACCTCCTGGTGCATGGGTTGACGCTCAACTATTGAGCCACACCGGCCGGGCATCTCCCACCATTCTTAAGCTGTTCTGCCAAACAGCCTTCCTCTCAACACCCCAACTTCCAATACTGCCTACACATTGAAAAGCACAAAATATCTTTGAGAGGGGTCTCTTCCTAGCTCTCAATCTAGCTGCTCAAGTATCTGTTTGTATTGCTACTCATTCCAATAACAAGAGATTCATGCGTATTAGCCCATAACCCCGGTACGAAGCACCTGATGAATTCTGACCTTGTGATGCTTTCAGAGAACAGCTGCCTCCACTTTCCTCTTCGAGAAAATTGGTTTCCAGGCTGAAAAGTGACTCATGTTTTGTATCCGTAAACTCCTCCAGCGATTCTTGTGATGTGCCAGGTGGCTCGTCCCCATCTTTTCCCTCGGGGTCAGCAGGTAAGACCTTGCCTCCAATTTTGACAAACACTGTATAAAATTATTTAATCGTAAATACAATTATACATCTATTGACAAATATAATCTAAGTCTTTAGCCTATATCAACACCCATGTCTATTGCCATCATTTACTTTTAAGCAAATTCAGATGGAAAACAGATTTCAAAATTAAGCTTGACTGTTGACCCAGTTCCATTTCTAAGATGATAACTAGACAAAGAACACCAAGATGGACATGTAAAATAGTCAAAGCAGAATTATGTTCTCTTTCCTCTGATTCAGGGAAATTCTGATGAAGTCTTGGAAGTCCTAAGCAAAAATGCTATTTCTGCATTTCTCTGACAAGAAAGTCCTATGTTTTCATCAGACTCTCAAAGGTATCATTGAGGCCAACAAGTTTAGGAATCTCTGCTTTGGATCCAAACCACACAGTATAGGGCACTGTGCCCATGGGGCAATCTAGCTATGGTCCTGGCACAGATGATGGACCCATACAGAAGGTACTTACTCTCCTGCCTTTCAGCAGACTCCGCTGCTGTCTCTTCCTCCACACTGACATCACTGTCACCATCTTCACTGTTCATTTCTGCCTCATCTAGAGGATTGTCTTCTTCCTCTTCCTCTTCTTCTTCTTCCTCCTCCTCCTCCTCCTCCTCATCTTCCTCAGAAACATTCTTTAACGTGGCGAGTAGTTTGTGGTACACAGAAATCTGTTCTGGTTCACTCTCTGCTTCACTTTCAGAGTTTGAAGAATCTGAACTCTCTGACTAAAAAGAAAATGGGAATTGTAAAAACAAAATGATATTGTTCTTGTCACTACCCTATGACTATCATCAAGCAAACAGCATAACAGGCTCAGACTTTCCTAAATAAAAATGAGCTTTTGTGCAAATACCCAATCCTATTCATTCAAGCAAGCCCAGCACATTTATTTAAAACAGTTAATCTAGCTAAGACCCTAGCAGCTCTTCATCTTCGAACTGCTAATGTTCCCCCTGGGAAGAAAGCTCTAGGCTATAAGGAGATCTAACCTATTTGTCAGACATTTGGCCCATTTAAAGGCAAAATAGAAAAATTACAATACAATAAAAGAATACAGGCTAAGTGTCCTTAATAGTTCTAATAGATTGATCTCTCCGATCTCTCCACAGTTCAAACTCCCGGTTACTGTTGTAGTTATCACAATGTCATTTTCACAGACATCTGCATTTAAAATGAAGCAATATCGCTAAAATAACACCTTATATCTGAACTAGAAAAAGGTGGAAACATAGCCAAAGTTTATTACTATATATACATTTTAAAAGTAACAACCCAGAACCCACTATTATAAAGAGAGCATAAAGCATTACCAGTTGACAAATCTGTGGTTTCGCTTCCTTTCTGGAAACCCTGAGAAGAAACAGGTAATGTTTAACCGCAGGTATGTGGCAGTCAGGAAAGTCTAATGACACAACTACCAAGGAAAAAGGCAGGATAGACCGCTATAGACACCACGTAACTACAGCCAGATAAAAACAAGACATGCGCTGGAGCAGAGGTTGTAAGAATGTAACAAACAGGTAACAACTGACAAATGAGAAGTTTCACGAGGTCACATGACAAATACCGGAGACACAGAGCAACCGGTTCTCTCGCAAAAGATGGCTAGCTTTGGCAAATAAAAGACCTCAGGTCCTTTCCTAGCAACTTTCTTAATTAGCACATCCCTCGAAGTCACTGAGGCAGCGGCCCAGGGCGGCGGGGGAAGCGCTAAGACCCCAGCTGAGAGTCGCACGCCGACAGGGGCGCCCACAGCTACCGATACATCAGTCCTCCCACTGTAACCGGGTACACAGGGATGTCGCAAGCCCCACGCAACTCAAAAACAAATCCACCCAGAAAACCTCTGGCCGTAAAAAACCAGCCGACACAGCGGGGTGTGATCTGGCATAAAGTCCTGGCTCCGGAAAAGGTAGGAAGACCGACCCACCCGCCCGCTGAAAGCCCGCCGGCCCGAGCCCGAGCCCAGCCGGCGCCGGGGCAGCGGGGGGAGAGGCGGGAGACCGGCGGACCCAGCCCGGGGACACGCGCGCTCCCACCGGGAAAGGACGCGGGCTCTCCGGCCCCGCCGTGCCCCTCGTACTTGTCATAGAAGGGATGCTCCTCGCCGAAATCCCGAAGATGCTTCTTCTGCTTTTTAGTCAGGGTGTTGAGCAGCTGGCTCTGGCTCCGGCTCCCGCGCTTGCCCATAGCGAAAAACCGACCCTGTCCGCCTTCCAGGGCCGCCTTCCCCACCGGGAAGTTGTCTCTTCCACTCACCAGCGTGGGGTCGCCGGCGGCGCTTTACGGCGGAAGCAGGATGCCATAAAGCAGTCCCGCTTTACGTCGCGCGTGTACGACAGACATTAGAAATTCCTGGTTCCGATTCTGCCCCCTAGCGAGGTTCATGGGAAGCACAGGCACATGTGCCCATTTGCGCCCTGAGTCCTAGAACGGAGACAGGTAGGCGTGGGGCTGCCAGGAGAGAGTACACGGGTGGGCCTGCTTTGAGCTTCTGTTTTGGTTGTGGAACTCAGCCTGCATAAACATGTAGTAGGGAGATGGTTGAATGCAGTGACTTTATATTACACCGTAATAACACCACCCAAGCCCTGGCCCGTGTGGTTCAGTTGGTTGAGAGTTGCCCCGTGCACCAGGAGTCACCCGTTGGACTCACCGTCAAGGCACATGCCCGGGTTGCTACAAAAACAACCATAGGTAAGGGTGCCCACACATCTCACTTCATCCTCACCATATTACACAAATAGGTCTTATTAATAAGCCTGATACTGCAGATGAAGAAACTGCCACTTGGAAAAGATTACACTTTAGCAAGAGAGGAGATAGAAACCTAAGTCTTTCTCATGTGACCACAGGCTTTTACCCCAGACATAGAGACGTCCGTGTGTTATATCAAGAATGGAGACGCAAGGCTGAGATTCCTGCCCTGACCCCACCCCTCATTTTCTGAATGTTTTGAAGAGCCCCCAGAAACAAATCTGTTTCTACATTTTTCATGTTACAAGAGCAGAAACACACATCCCACACATCCAGAGATGTAAACTCACTTTCCTAAAATCACCCCGGAAACGATGTTAGAGGAAGCAGTTGAACTAACTTTCATGTCTCAAAATCAACTCTGGGCAAAGAGGGATGGAAAACATTTCAAGGTGGAGTAACGGTTTTATATCTTTTCTTTTTCTTTAAATATGTTTTTATTGATTTTTTTTTTTTTTTTTTTTTTTTAGAGAGTGAGGAAAGGAGAGGGAGAGAAAAAATCATTTATATGAGAGACAAACATTGATGGGCTGCCTCCTGAACGACCCCTACTGGGAATAGAGCCCACAACTCAGGCTGGACCAGGAATCAAACCGGCGACCTTTTGGTGCACAGGATGACACTCGACCAACCGAGCCACACTGGCCAGGTCTTGACCATGGTGGTAGCTACACTTTGTATACAATTACCAAAATGAATCACACTGTACATTTAAAATTGGTGAATTTTAATATATGTAAATAATAACCTTAATAAACAAAGAGGAAAAAGCAAAAAACAAAAGTGGACTCAGTCCTCTAGGGACATGCAGAGTGTGTAGGGCTACTTGAGACCACAAGATAAACACAGCGACACTTTCTCCTAATGATAACTTACAAGGTCATGTTCTGTAAAAACAAAATGGTGCTTCATAGACCACAGAATTCACCTGAATTTTTAAGGTGAAACAGGAGCCATCAAAGCGTGTTCACTTGGCTCTGCAACTAGAGGTGCTTCTGTGGAAAGATGTGAACTTTGCCCAATACCATGTCACACCTGCAGAAGTGGTACTGGAAGTGCTAGGATCCTAGTCCCTGTGGCCATCTACGCCTAATTAGGCTCTGGGAGGCTGGGGTGGTGCAGGGAGCGCAGGTAGAAGGTAGTACCAAAGAAATATGCAAACAGTGGGTGGTGCTAGCAGCCGGCCCAGCCAAGGAAACCAAAGACAAACAGATATCTGTCTTCTGGCTAATGTCAAGATAAAAGGTACAGTCACTTACGTTAACAAAAGGCTGTGTGCAAAATGTCATCATATATTTTAAGGCACTAACCACAGTATAACCTGGCTGTGACAATAAAAACTTAGGCTTCTTTGTCCTCCTCCTGCCTTATCCCAAGTGCCCCAGCTTCCCTCCCCAGAGGCAACTAGTTTCTTGGTATTCTTCCAGAGGTTTTCTATAAAAAGTCATACTCTGGAGCACTTGAGGTGATTCCTTACCCTCCCGGTTTCCACATCCTTGTAGTCCTGTGGACACGTCTAGACTGTTCCCAGGTTTAGGCAAAAATGTGCCCAGCTCCACCCAAGGGGCCTCCTCATTGGTTCACTGAGCGATTGGTTCACTCCTGAAAATATTTACATTAGCTTTTGACAACGTAAAAGGGGATCCTTTGTGACATTTTAACCTGAGAGTCCAAAATTTGAACATTTTTTTCACGCCTCAAGTGAAAGAAATCTTAGTAAAACCCACACAAAGAAGATGTATGTGCCAACTAGTGAAGGCCCCGGGAAAAGTGTAATGAAGGCAAAATTTGTTCTCCACTTGCTCCTTCCCATAGGTAGCCTTCCTTTTCCTTCCTCCAAGGTTTTCTTTTACCTTTGCCCTCGGGCACACGATATTTTCAGGAGTAAAAGCAGTCTGGGAAATCGTCTTTTATGCTAGCTCGTGAAGAGGTGTTTATGAATTAACATTACTTTTCCCAGGGTATTTGCAATTCCCAGGAGACTCCCCAGGATAATGATCTCAAGGGCTGAGAGAGGAATGGCTATTCCTTAGGACAGGAATATCAGAATGTTTAGGAAAGTGTTAATATATTTTTTTAAAATATAAACCTTTTTTATGGAAAATTTTAAGTATATACAAAAGTGGACAAAATGGTATAATGCTCTCCCATGAGCCCATTGCTCAGCTTCACCAGTGACAACCCAAGGCTGTCTTGTTTCATGTGTATGCCTCCCCACGGCCCGACACTCCTCTTCATTATTTTTGAAGTCAGTCCCAGACATCATATTATTTAATTTGTAAATATTTTGGTCTACATTTCTAAAGATAAAGGTTCTTTTCTAACATAGCCACATCAGCATTGTTTCACCCACAAAAAGTGATAGTTATTAAATATCATCATATACTCGGTCAGTGTTGAAATTCTGATTCTCGTAAACATTTTCTGTTGTTGTTTTGGTTTGTTTTACATTTTGCTGGTTTTACGTGTTCTACTGTTCTCTATATTTCTGGTGAATAGGTTGTTGGACTTAGGACTTTTTTTTCAGAAACTGAGTTTTTCTTTTTTTTTTTTTTTTTAAAGTTTTATTGATTTGAGAGAGAGAGGAAGGGAGAAGGAGAGAGAGAAACATTGATGGATGAGAACATCGATTGGCCACCTCCTGCATGCCCCCAACTGAGGATCAGGTCCACAGCCTGGGCATATCCCCTGACCGGGAATTAAATCGGCAATCTCTTGGTGCATGGATCGGTGGTCCACCACTGAGCCATACCAGCTGGGCATGAATTTTTCTATTTTGTAATTGATTTTCTTGTTTTTAAGAGAGAGAGAAACATTAATTTGTTGTTTCACTTATTTATGTATACATTGGTTGCTTCTTGTATGTGCCCTGACCAGGGATCAAACCCAAAACCTTGGTGTATCAGGATGGCGCTCTAATCAACTGAACTACCCAGCCAGGGCAGACTTAGAACTTTGATCAGACTTCATTATAGTTGGCTTTAAAAAAAAAAATCCTCACTGGAGAATATTTTTCCATTTATCTTCAGATAGAGTGGGAGGGGGAGAGAGAGGCAGAGAAAGAAACACATCGATGTAAGAGAGACATACCTATTGGTTGTCTCTCACAAGACTCTGACCGGGGCCAGGGACCAAACTGCAAGCAAGGTACATACCCTTGACTGGAATCAAACCGAGAGTCTTTGGGTCTAGCTGAGATTCTCAGGGGGATGGGGTCAGAGCTTGAAGATACAGATCAGATACTGGGGATGTTTGAATTTTGAAATTTATGTAATAATAGGGCACAGAATTTAAGACATGTTGATAGGGAACCATATATAAGCCAAAGGTATGACAAAGGTATGATTCTCTAATGATAAAAGTTCAGATATCTCAGCCACTGATTGGGGAAGATTCTGGGGTGTGTGTGTGTGTGTGTGTGTGTGTGTGTGTGTGTGTCCAGGTATCTGTCTCCTCCTAGAGGCCTTAATTCAGATGTTATTATGTATAGGCCCATCCCTCCACATATACGCATGTCTGTATACACCCCAAAGCAATCCAGCCTGTCCCTGACTGTGCTGGCAGAAACCAGTCTTTTTCTACCCTTATAATGAAATGAGCTTATTTATTTATTCAAGAAAATATTTACTAAACACTGAGTGCCAGGTGCTACGCCAGCAGTTGAGGTGAGAAGATCCATGTTGGCCTCTTCAAGGACTTTGTGGTTTTGTCCAGGTGTGAATCTGTACACAGATGATCACAATACACTGTGGTAAATGCTGAACTGACAAACTCAGGATACCACCCCAGCCCCAAACACTGTCCTCCCTGCTTCCTTGGTATCAGAGTTCATCAGTTTATCCAGAGTTTATCCAGGGCATTTGTCGTTCAGTCACATTCGTTGAACATTAGTGGTGAACTCAACAACTTGATCTAGATTCTAGTCTTAGGCTGTAGGAGTTGTTCCAGCTGACTTCATGAACAGCATGTGTGTTCAAGACAGGCTATGAGGGATGCAGAACAGGAAATTAGGGAGCTGTGTAGTCATCAGGTTCCACAGTGTGTATTGTGTATGGAGCAATAAGCTTTCTAGGAGGAGAATATTTTAGAAAATGAGATTATATCTGAGAAACGAAAAGCTTTGTAATGCACTTAAATGCACTCGACATAATATAGAAATGCAAAATATTATTATATATAGGTCCTACCCTTTCTGTTCATCTGTACCCATAACAAATTACCCATTGTCAAGCCCAGGGCCTGGTGTATAGTGACCTGTAATAAATACATGTTTTCTCATGTCTATGAGAGATTTATTTGAATTAGGCCTAGCCTAAAACAGAAATATTTTATCAGATTACATTAATCTAATTAATAGCAAGCCTAAAATGCTGTGCTAGTGGGGGAAAAGGTTTGCATCCCTCTCTCTAGTGGAGTATTGGTATAACTACACTCTATTTTTTATATTTTTCTGGCAAAGGCTCAGCATGCATACATGTTCCTTCATTTATCAAACATTTACCGAACAGAT